CTCTTTTCCTTGATTATTTGGCAGTAAGATAGTCCAATTAATATAATTGAAATTTTGTTTTCATGGGAACCTAACATTGCCTTGAATTTCTTTTTTTCAGCATTATAGAAACTTATAGCAAGAAATGGCATTTGAGATAATTTGGTGTAAAATACTTACTTACAGATAAGAAATCGGAGACCCAGAGGTAGTTATTTGCTGAAGAGAACAGAGTTTAATAGGGAACTTAGAAGCAGGTCCCAGGTTTTCTAATTTTGGGCCGATGACTCCTACAGTATGCCACAATGAGACTCAGTTTTTTGTTTGCTCTTATTTCAATATGTCATCAGATTTTAATCAATAAAGTTCAATTTAATGACTAGCCTCTATTTTTAGTTCTTGATTAATTTAATTTTCAAATAGATGATATATTTATATTGGTCAAAAATCTAAACACATGAAAGTGTTCATGAAATATATGTGGTCAAAATGAGATTAGATATTATCCTCAGATCATCTTTTATGATATTATTTTTTTCAGGAAATTTCCCTGTAGAGACAACCAGTTTGAAGCAAATGTTTCTCTCATTTTCTTTATGCTCTTCCTATTTTAAAAATTTAAGTAAATATAGACACAGTATGATTACCAGAGGGAAAGGGAGGGGCAGAGGAGGTAGAAGAGGTAAAGGGGAAATAAATGGTGATGGAAGGAGACTTGATTTGAGGTGGTGAACACATAATACAGTATACAGATGATGTGTTACAGAATTGTACACCTGAAGCCTATATAATTTTATTAACCAATGTCACCCCAATAAACTCAATTAAAAATTTTAAATTAAAAATAATAAAATAGCCTGGCTAGCGTGGCTCAGTGTTTGAGTATCGACCTATGAACCAGGAGGTCATGGTTCGATTCCTGGTCAGGGCACATACCCAAGTTTCAGGCTCAATCCCTGGTGGGGGCCTGTGGAGGCAACAGGAGCTGATCAGTAATTCTCTTTCATCATTGATGTTTCTGTCTCTCTCTGCCTCTCCCTTCCTCTCTGAAATCAATAAAAATATATTAAAAAAGTAAAATAGTTACCCATAATCTCATCTTCCAGGATTGCTATTTTTATTTTTTGCATATTAACATCTGCATGTATATTCATTCACATGATGCATATTATTCTGCTGTCTTTGCTCAATATTACATCATAAAGTACATATTTCAATAAAAGTGTTTCAAAAGCAGTTGGATAACTTATTTTACGAGGCCAGCATAACCCTGATACTAAAGCCTGATAGTGACATTATATAAAAAGAAAGCAGAAAGATATATTTTTAAAAAGTAGCAAATTGTCCTGGCTGGATAGCTCAGTTGATTAGAACATTGTTCTGATACGCCAAGGTTGTGGGTTTGATACTCGGTCAGGGCATATACAAGAATCAACCAGTGAATGCATAAGTAAGTGCAACAACAAATCGATGTTTCTCTCTCCCTCTCTTTCGCCCTCTCCCTCCCTCCCTCCCTCCTTCTCTTCTTCTCTCCTTCTCTCTGTCTAAATCAATAAAAAATTTTAAAAAATTAGCAAATTGCATCTAGTAATATATGGAAAGGTTAATACATTATCTCAGGAATGCAATATTGTTAAACACTTGAACATCAGTCAATATAATATGCCACATTGGCAAAACAAATAAGAAAAGCCATATGATATTTCAGTAAATGTGGAAAAAGCATTTGACCAATTCAACATTCATTCATGAAAAAACTTTCAGCAAAATAGGAATAGAAGAAAACATCTTCTGCCGGATGTAGATGTGGTTAAAGTGAAGGGCCTTTGATGTGGGGACTGTCCTTTATTTTCCGAGTGGGCCCAATTTAATCACATGAGTCCTTAAAGGTAGAAGAGGAAACCAAAAGGGTGGGTCAGAGAGAAGCAATATGAAGAGTCATTCAAAGCCATTATTGACTTTGAAGGTGGAGGAAGAGATCCATGAGTCAAAGAATGAGGTGACCTCTACAAGCTGGGAAGTGCCCTCAGCTTACAGGCAGCAAGAAAGGGGGGACCCCAGTTTTATAGCCAGGAAGAGCTAAATCCTGTGAACAACCCCAACCAGCAGGAAATGGATTCTTCCCTAGAGCCTCCTGAATAGAAAGCAGCGTGCTGAGACCTTGATTTTAACCCCTTAAAGCCTGTACTGCAACTCCAGAACTGGATGGTAGCAGATGTGTGCTGTTTTATGCTAAGTTTGTGGTGATTTGCAAATGGCAACAATGTAAAAACTAATGAAGCATTCAACTTCTCAAAGCAGATAACTTTAGCAAATTAAATTTGTTAAGTACGGAATTGTAGATGGTTTGTTCATTCCATTTAATATTTGTTAAGTTCCTACTATGATAAGTTCAACTAAGTTCTTTTCCATAATTAGCCATTTTAATGTGTTTAATGCATGTATTTATCATGTGTATGTGTCAAAGTACAAAATATTCTTATGTGTACATATATTTTTAATGTACATAAATAGAATTGTGTTACAGAACTCATTCAGTTTTTTAGTTTTTCCTCTCAGAACTGCTAAGAGTTACCTCTGATGCTAAATGAACAACTTAGTGTTGCTGTTCAAACTGCTCCATTGTGTGCATCCACATTTTACTTAACCACTTCCGCAGAGATGGTCACCTGGACTGCAACACCACAAATGAGGAATGTCTTAATATTATCTATCTATTACCGCATAATAAATTCCCCTAAAACTTAGCCATTTAAAACAACATTGTTTCACAGTTTTTAGGGTCAGGAATCTGGGTACAGCATAGCTTGGTGCCTCAGACTCAAGTGTCTCATGATGTTGTAGTTGAGTTTATCGCTGGGGCTGTGGTCTCATCTGAAGCCTCAACTAGGAAGGACCTGCTTCCTAGATTTCTCACTTGGCTTTTGGTAGGATTCAATTCCTCTAGGGTTGTTGGACTGAGGGCCTCTGTTCCTCGCTGGCTGTTGACTGGAGGCCTCCCTTAATTCCAGGTGAACTTCTTCATATGTCAGCTCACAACAAGGCAGCTGACTTTCCTCAGATAAAGCAAATAGAAGAATGAGAGCATGCCCAGCACAAGCCATCATCTGTTTGTAAGCTCATATCTCAGAAGTGGCACCTGATCACTGTATTCGCTTTGTTAGAAGCGAGTCACCAGATCCAAGGGGAGGAAACTACACAAGATCATGAATATCAGGAAGTAGGGATTAGGGTCATTTAGGAAGTGTCTTCACAGGGAGACATATTTCTGTGAATTTTTCTTTGGTGTGCATACATATAGTGGGTTATAGGTTGTTTTCTAAAATGACTGGTTAATACTCCCATGAGCAGTGCATGAGGGCTTATATGTCATCATATGCCTTCCACTCCTTTACATTTTCTAGGGCATAAAGGGATAGCATATTGTTTTAAAGTGACTTTATATTTTCCATTCTTGTTTTCTAGTGGAGTTCTTGCCTCTTTTTGCCATTTGCAGGGATTGCTTATAACATTCTAGATATTAGTTTTTTGTTTTTCCCTCCAGTCTATCATCTATCTGTTAACTTTGTCCAAAGTTTCATTTGTTGAGCAATCATTTTTAATCTTGATGTAATTAAATGCCTTTGTTTCTTGGCTTTGTGCTCTTAGGCTTTTATTTAAGAAGTCCTTTCTTATGCTGATGTTACAAACGTACCATTATACATTTTCTTCTATTAACTTTAGTTTTGCCATTCACATCTAAGTCTGTAATTCATCTGTAGTAGGTCTTTGATAGTAGGTAGTAAGTTAGGGACCCATCATTATTTTTCTTTATGAAATGAGCCCATATTTTCCTAGTACCATATTCTCCTAGTACCATCTTCTGTACAATTTGTTTTTTCTCCATTATTTTCTGGATCCATTCCATGTATACACAGGTCTGACTATATATTTAGTTCAATTGGGTTCCATTGGTTTATCTTTGTGTGCTGTTTTTATTACTACCGCAGTATTGCATGGCATTAGATCAATTGAATGGGCCTCTTGAATTTTGTATACTTTGTATTGAGAAGATATTTCTGTCAGCACTATAATTCTGTCCTTGAAATATCTGGTAGAATTTAAGCTTGCCTAGTTCTAGCATTAAGTCATCTTTAATTTGTTTAATAAGCCCCATTTAAGTAGATAGTGTTTTTCTTTGGGCTTTCCATGAATATTTCAGTTCCATAAAATATTTTTATGTTCTTCTGGAGTTATTACTTTTTTTTCTGTGTTGTTGAGATTTCTATTTTCCTGGGCTAACTGTTCCACATGATAATCGTGTTTAAATTTTTATAATAACTGAAGATTTCTTAATGCATTTATTCCTGTTTGTGCTCCTTCTCAGAAAAATTTTGTTTCCTTTTTATTTGATCTAAGATTTGTTTCTACCCTTGATCTTAGCCAAATGGCTGAGATGCGATAAGATTTGTTTCTAAAAGGAATAATGATCTTGGGAAGGGACGAGAGTATTCCTTTCCAAACGAAATATGCATATAAAACAGGAATAATTTGTTTAGTGTTCATACTTTGCTGAACATGCAGAGTTGGCCTTGAGAATGAGGGCACTAGAGATAGGAGTGTAGGACATGCCATTGTTCTCATTGTAAAGTGACTGTCAACTTGCAAAGGCATTGTTTTCTTTCCTACACTGATTTCTCTTCAGTTTTATAATGTGAATATTTGTTTCTGAGTTATAACTGAACAGAGTACTGCTGGTAATTGTTTCCATTATGCTCTAATAAATAGACTTGTCATTCAGTAGGAGATGGGAATGGGAGAATAGGGAAGTAATGGGATACCTGACCCAAGTATAAGAGCTAATGACTGGGGAATGGTTTCATATTTTTTTCTTAATTTAATTTTTATGTTAAACATATTAGTATTTTTTTATAATGCAAACATGTTGAATATTTAGATTTGAGTTTTTAAATTCAGAAAAGAGCAATATATTAACTGTTCCAAACTGACCCATTATTCTGTTTTGTTTTCTATTTCTCCAGAGACCTTACATATGAAATATCAGTGGAAGCTATATCAACAATGGTTGTTTTCCTTTCCTGTCAACTATATCACAAGGAAGTTTTGCGACAGAGCATTAGTCACAAGTATTTGATGCGAGGTCGATGGTATGTTTCTATTTTAAATGGAAGGGGGTGGGAGAAAGCAGTGAGAGAGAGAGAGAGAGAGAGAGAGAGAGAGAGAAAGTGGCCACCTCCCACACTCCCCCAACCAGAGCCGGGATGGAGCCTTTAGCTAAGGTACGTGCCCTTGACTGGAATTGAACTCAAGATCCTTCAGTTTGAAGGCCAATGCTCCAACCACTGAGCCAAACCAGCCAAGGCTAAATTTGTCCAGGTTTTTAACAAAATAAGGTCATGGGGATGTAAAGTACAACATAGGGAATAAAGTCAATAATATGGTAATAACTATGTATGGTGCCAGGTGGGTACTGAAAATATTGGGGGGACGACTTTGTAAATTATATGGTTGTCTAAGCACTGTGCTGTACACCTGAAAGTAATATAAAATAAAATTGAATGTCAACTATAAATGAATATTTAAAAAGTAAACAACAAAAAATAGATTTGTCTATTTTTTTATTGTATAAATCTATATTTTTGGTCTTATCCCCTTAGTATTTTTAAAATTTTTATTTATTGATTGATTTTTGAGAGAGAGAGAGAGAGATATTTGTTGTTCCACTTATTTATCGCATTTATTGGTTGATTTTTGTATGTGCCCTGGCTGGGTATCTAACCCCAAACCTTGGCCTAACCACCTGATGCTCTAACCAACTGAGCTATCTGGCCAGGGCCTCTTACCTTAGTATTGTTTTATATCTCCAATCAGACATTCCTCTAGTTGTTCTATCAGCACCTCAAACACAACACATAAGGAACCAGATTCTCCTTTTTTGTCCAAACTGTCCATCCTTCCTGCCCCCGTTACTCCCCAGCTCCATTGCTTTCTGTAGTGATTTCTTTGTAGAATTAAAACTTTGAAGTCATCTTTCTTCTCTATCACTGTCTATGTCTAAGCAGTCATCCAGTAATATTTGTTCATTGAAATTATTTTTGTGTCTTTCCCTTTTTACTAGTTCCACATAACCTTTTGACTGACTGTACCTACTTTCATTTAGTCAATACATCTTTATTGTGTGCTAACCATGTGCTAGGCATGTTAGGATGTGGGGCTATACTCTGAACAGAAACTTACTGTCTTCTAGTGGGTGGGGATGGGAATAAATTAAACACATACACACACACACACACACACACACACACACACATCTTCTATCGGTACAGTCTTCACAGAATTTTGGAATGTAAGACAAAGACAGAGTAGCTTTGATTAAAGTTCTCAGGGACTTTCATCCTTCTTAACTACCTTTGTTTTTTTCATGGCACCTTCACTGATAATAGGGAAAAGGCCTGAACTTTGGCTCAAGAGTCTATTAAGAAATTTTCTCTATATTGCAGGAACTGATCTATCACCAATTTGTGGACACACATCCCTTTTCACCTATTTTTTTCTCCCTTCTCCTCATCTCATTACTTAGAAGCAAAGAGTATAATGTTTACAAAATCTGTATACATACAGATATATTTTTGTATGCATGCACTAATTGAATAACTTCATACTTAAAAAGTATACTCTTTTATATTATTGCTTTTTAATTCTTGCTTTTCCCTGCTAATGCTATATTACTACCTCCCTTCAAGTGCCAGTTACTGTATTATATACTGAATTTATAGTATCTCACCTGTTATACAGATTACAAATAAGGTGAGTTCAAGAGTGGAAGTGATTTGACCAATGATCTATGGCATAGTAAGGAGAAAGCCAGAGTTAAGCCTCAAGTCTGATGGTCTTCACTATTATGTGACCATGCTAGACTTCTTTGAATTATGCTAATCCTTTTGTATTACTAGATTATATAGATTATTATTATATATAGTCAGATGACTCCCATAAGTATGAGTGTGATTTTCTTCTTTTTTTCTTTCTGTGTAGTCTTCCATACACCAGCAAACTTGTGAAAACTTTATTGTATAACTTCATCAGACAAGAAAAGCCACCTCCCCCAGGCGCCCACGTTTTCCCTCAGCAGTCGGATGGGGGAGGACTGCTGTATGGACTTGCGTCAGGCGTAGCAAGTAAGCCCTTTCTGACTTTTTCAGTACTTTGATGTACACAGATTGTTAATTAGTCATAAATAATTCTGTTTCCCTTGGCTGCCACTATTAATAGTTATATTGAATCTGTGCAGCTGTCTAAATGTGACATACTGAAAGTAATTTAAAATATTAATTTTTGCATTCAGTGTAGTGAATGCATATAAATATATGCAAATAATGAATAAATTGTTCACCTATAAGGCACCATTTTTCAAGAAGAATGTTTATAAATACGCATTTTATATGAGTTCTAGCTGTACAATTCAGTTAAGCTCTTGGAAACTTTTTACTGCTTGTGCTTTATAAGGAAATCATTCTGTTTTAAGGACTTTATTGGTTAGGTTTTTATGTGACTAATTGGGTATAGTTTTCTTATTGTCATAAGCGTTTCATTTGTTGATGACCAATTAGTATATTTTGAAGAGTTTTGTTACAAATTCAAAAGTGGCACAAACGTGAGTTTTATCAGATTAGAAGCAAATTTTGTTAACTGTGGAAAGTCCTTTCCCACCAAAGCCTCATTTCTGCTTCACAGTGATCAGACCTAAGACTCTGGAAGTACCGAGTACCTCTGGCCCGCCCCTTTGTTGGTGTGGAGGACCTATGCCACGAGAGGCTATATAAACGGAACTTTTGCTTTATTCTGAAGGAGAAACAAAAAGTAGGCTGACACTTTGGTAGTTGTGAGGTCTGCACAGAGGGGCTCTTACTAAACGTCTACTTAAGTACATAGTGCAGAGTTCGGCTGTTTGGAGGAATTTTAAATGGAGCTGAGTTCCACAGCTGAATTATGGTTGTAGCATCCTCGCCACACTCAGGGAGGAACATCAGCTTGATATGAAAATGTAGTTCTACAGTGTGGTAACGTGAGATAATGAGTCATGGGAACCTCTTTGTATAAAGGACCTCTCTGTTGATTTTAGGAATTGATCTGTGAACCCGGCTTTCTAGATTTGCCTTCCTTTGATATCTTTTAATTATGAGTTGAGTTACATTTGTGAATATTCATGGCTTTGTCTTTGGTGCGGAGCAGGCTGCCTAGAATGCCAGACCTGCAGAATTTTATTCTCCAGGTTACTCTTACCTACTGCCTGCCTTGTTTCAGGTGAGGAGGCTGTACATGCTGGCTCATTCATGGCCTTGAAGGCAGCATAGGAATGGCTTTTTGTGTCCCATAGGAAGACTTCATTCATACAGTAGTATTTGCTTTTTTAAATTATTAAACTGGTATAAGGATTTAAAGGTTGAGTATTTTGTAGTACTCCAATATGGTTGGAGATTTTGGTGAGCAGATAGTATAAGGTCATTCATTGCTTTCTCCAAAACAATGGCAAAACTTTGGAGTTTTTTAAAAAAAGTAAACATAGATTCATGGGTGGTTTTGGTTTTTCTTGAAGTTGTGTCATCAGAATGAAGTCCAGGATGGCATCTGGTGTCATCAGCACCAGGTGCCAAAACACTTGACTTCTAAATTTTAGATCTGCTTGCTCCCACCTAGCTAGCAGTATATTGGAAGGAAGTTCCTTAATTTTCCTACCTTCCAGGTTCCTTGTCTTTCAAATGAGAAAGTTGGGATAGATAATCTGAGATTATTTCCATATAATTTTCAATGATCTATGGTCTTTTAAAATTTACTATTCAGTTAAGGGCATTAAAATAGTTAGAATTTTTAGTGTGCTATAGTTACAGCACATTTTATATAGCTTTCTTCCTAAATCTTTACAAAGCTATTCATGCAAAAATATAAAACATGATGGAGTAATTATTGTTATTTCACAGCATGCAAGTCAAAGGATTATAAAAACAACAAAAGGACATTCTCTTTAAAAACAAAGCTGTGTATTGTGGGTAAAATGTAAATTTGATCACAGTATATAATTTGAATTAAGCCACATTCTAGGAAAGTCTGTCAAACTGACAAAGAAAATTTGACTTTAGTTCTCAGTGATCAGTTTTAATGATTTTTTGGTTGGTAGTTAAGGAATTTTCCTACTTTAAAAAAGTGTTTTTAAAAATTTTTTTAATTGGGTTTTAGAGAGAGAGAGGAAGGAGAGACAGAGAGAGAGAAACATTGTTGTGAGAGAGAAGCATTGATTGGTTGCCTCTCATATGCACCCCTACTGGGGATTGAACCCACAACTTGGGCATGTGCCCTGACCGGGAATTGAACCGGCGACCTTTTAGTGCATGGGATGACGCTCAACCAGCGGAGCCACACTGGCCAGGACAGAATTTTCTTACTTTAATATTGGCTTGAGGAAATGTGATTTGGAGGTTCCTCACTGAAAAGAAATAATGTTGCAAAGCTAGATGCAGATTATAAACTCTTTTGGATTATCTTCATTTTCGTTGGGATTGAATTTTTCGTGGGACAGAAAACATTTCCTTTCATAGTGTGTGTATTGTATGTTTTGCTGAAATTATTTCCTCTGAAACAGCATGCCTTATTTTGGAAAACTTTATAGTTTTGGATAGTGAAGTTCTGTTGGTTCTGGCAAGGGAAGATGAGAATCCTGGTGCTACAACTGGGTCCAGATGAGTAATGAGTCACATGTCTGGGCCTTCACAGGAGTTCGGCAAGCCTTCCCCAGTTCATTCTCATTTATTTCCGGTTATCTGTTATTTGTTTCCTAGATTCCTGCAAAACCTTTGTTAAATCTTCGGTGCCTGACACTCTTTTTCATGCATTGCTGGGTTATCTCTTTAACCTGGAATCCTCCTTCCTCCTCTCTGTCACTTTGATTTTCTCCCCATCTACCTATTAAGCTCCATCCCCAGTACTACCTTCTCTATGAAGAGTTCCTCTTCTGCCTCGCAGCAGGATGTAATCTTTTCCTGTGGCACTCACTCTGCTTTGCGTTATGATTACTGTGTAGAAGTTTTATCTCCCTACATTGCTCTACATACAATACAGTAAGAGCTAACATATTTATAACACTTCTGAGCTTACAGAGCAACTTTTCGTACATCTTACTTTATTCTCATGGCTACCTTGTGAAATAGATGTTTCTACCTTTTGATGTGCTACATGTAGAGATGTTCCTAGCTATTAAATTGCTTGTCTGAGATCACACAGGAAAGAGGTGATGTTGGTTTGCACTTGATCTTAGTTTCTTTGCTTCCTGAACTTTGCTGTCTTGTCTCTCATTGTTACTGTCGACTCCTGAGTGTGTAAGCGGCTGCTTGACTTCTCTGAGGTTGTTCACCGCAGTATCTAGCAGAGCACCTTACATCTGGCCTCTCAATAAATACTTGTATGTAATTAAATACCAAAAGCTAATGCTCATCTGCACTCAAGGCAGGTGTGAAGTCAGTTATAGCGACATGTCTATCATTTTTTGAATGCCTTCTGTTTGCCAGACAGGTTAGCAGCTATTTTACATACATGATTCTTATCTGCTCTTTTTAAAAATATATATTTTTATTGATTTCAGAGAGGAAGGGAGAGGGGGAGAGAGAGAGAATCATTGGTCGGCTGCCTCCTGCACGCCCCACACCTGGGATTGAGCCCGCAACCCGGGCATGTGCCCTGATTGGGCACATGTGACTGGGAATTGAACTGTGCATAGGTCGACACTCAACCACTGAGCCACGCCGGCCGGGCTCCCTCCTCTTTTTAAAAGCTTTATTTGGAAATAAAAGTCACACATATAGAAAAGTTCCAAAAATAAAAATATTACAGAAAATCTATATAGCTTTATTTAGATTGATTTGTTAACATTCTATCCCATTTGTTATGTATTTGTATTCATTCTCTTTCTTTTCTTTTATCATTCTGCACGCACACACACATGCACACTTTCTTTTTAACCACTTGAGGGTAAGTTACATTCATCACGGCCCTTTACCCCTAAATACTTGAATGTGTACTTCCTAAAAGGTAACATCTCTTACACAACCACAGTATACTTATCAAGTGAGTCAATTTAACATTCAGCTATCCTTAAAAACAAATGAGGTAGGCATTTGCTTCTACCTCAGTAAAAATAAGAATAAAGATTTCCCTCTATAGTTCAAAATCTCCTTTAGTAAGAATATAATGTCATTTGTGTTGCTCTTAAATTGAGTTTTTACAATTAGGTTTTCTTGTGCCTGCGTGTACCGATTCATCTGTCTTAGACTAAACACTCCAGGATGCAGCATCTGTCCTTTCTGCTTATTACTGGCCTGCAGAACACAGTGAGTGCTTGGATAATGTTTGCTCAAAGTGTCACAAACAATTAGAGGGATTATTAATACTTCTTCATTACTACCGGTAAGTCTCTTTGCAGTTAAAGAGAGTAGTGGAAATTAACTTGTCTAGATTTTGTTATTTTTTAAAAAGTGTTTTTACATGTGTCAAGTGTGATTTGCTTCTTTAACTGAAAGTGGTTACATATATAAACCACTGGTAATATATATAAAATACATGCCAACATGCCTCTATTCATAATCTTCAGTACAAGAAAAAATGGCTTCCTTTTCCTCTGTAGTTTGTTAGTTTAGAAATTCCTCTAATATGCTGAGAAAATGGCAAAATAATCAATTGCTATATTACTTTACTGTGTAGAAAAGAATGCTACAGTTTTAATTACTGTGGTTTTTTAAGTGAATCACAGAATTCTAGGCTTGTAGAGATAATTATAAAGGCCACACGGTGGCTCCCTGCATTAGCAGTGCCTCCTGGCATACTTTAAAACAATGCATGTGCTTACACCTTGGAATTTCTGAGTCATAAGGCATGAGGTGGGCCCGGCCATACACATTTCCAGTAAGCATTCTAGAAGATGGTGATATGGCTGGTCCATTTCTGCACCACTCGGGTGCGGGCCCCTTTCCTGTGCTGGAATCTGTTCTGCTGGGGGCCCATCATGGCAGACACTTGAGCCAGTACAATTAATTACTGAGGAAGCTCTAATGGGTTCCACTGACCCCCTTCTACATAAGATCTTAGTTTCTCTTACTGATTTCTGCATTGCTCTCTGTTGTTGATGAGGTCC